GTTACATTTTGGGCTTTGCATAACTTAAGCAGCTGACTTAAAGTCCGTAAAAAGTCACCATTTGAGCAATGTGGGTGCAAAGGGTACAAGCGTACCCATGTGCGCCTCTCCAGCTGCTCTTCCTCATCTTCCTCCCCTCAAAAATCACTGGTTTATTAAGCAGATATGTGCAGGCTGGTTCTGTTAAGTTTCATTGCAAAGCTAATAGCCAAGGCAATTGTGTGGATAAGCAGAGACTTAAATCATTTGGAAACTGTTGAGAGGACAGATCTGGTAATAATAACCTTCATGGCTGGCAAGTTACAGCCACTTTTGACAACTCCTAACGATGAAGGCTTATAGTGAAGTTAAGAGCTAAATGTGCCATGGGATCAATTTCAATTCCCAAGGATAAAGCTTCAAACTTTACCCTGCTTTTATCATCTTTAAGATTACTTTGTTTTTTCTCTAGTTTAAAAATTAGTTGTTCGTTTTGGGTTTTATTCTAACAAATGTTAGAGTGCTTATATTCACTCTGATTTATTTTTTTTCTTTGACACAGTGGGACAGTTTAATTTACTTCAATGCAAAGAAAGTGTAGTCTTACTGAAGCCACATTCGTTTCTCACTTCAGCAGAAGTTACAGAAGAATGTTGTATTAATGTGTTTTGTATCATGTCAGAACACTTCTTTTATTCTATTTGTGGTGACTTCCAGACATAAGTAGCAATTAGAATACCATGTGTTAAGAGAGTTCTCAAAGAGTATATACTAAAAGTCTCATCAGGACCTGTAGTTTGCACCAATATCTATACCAAAGAAAAAAAATAAGGAAATACAGAAATGCCACTGGTGCTGTTTGCATACTGACACTGAAATGGCTGTGATTACTACAGATAATGAGTAACTAATTGTTTACAGTGCATCTGAACACAAGACCACAAGCATAAATTTAGGAATAGAGGTCATACTTGCTCACTGGGTAGGCAGCTATATATTAGAGAACATGAATATTAATTTCTAGTCCACTGCTGTGTGTAAGGCAATTAGTACCATTCTGAGCTGTGTTTTAATTGGAAGTTTCAATGGGAGGAAGAATGTGATGTTCTGCAGCACAGAGTATCAGTGACAGCTCTTGGGGACTCCTGTGTTTCAGAGTATTTTAAAAATAAAACGGGTTCAGAAAAGAGCAATGAAAGAGCAGGAAAATCTGCTTCACAGTGAATGAATCAGAAAGGCATAACTTTGCAGAGAATCAGAGAAGGTTGGGGTGGTTGGATTACGAGCAGTATCTACAGGAGGTGGAGAATCTGCTCGTGCAGGTCCAATTGGCTGGCACGTGAGGAGACAAGAAGATTTAGTGGCTGCAAACTGAAGTGAGACTAATTCAGATTAGATGCACATTCTAAAATTAGAACAATTAGTGGAAAGGCTTACCAGAGGATGGCAGGGGCTGCCTTTGGCTTAAAACAATTATATAAGGAGAGCACATCTTTCTAGAGAGAGACACCATGGCTTGGTCACAAAATACGGACCAGATGCAGGGATGGCTGGGTGAAATGACCAAGCCTGGGCTGTGCAGGTAGCCACAGAAGAGAATTAGCTGGCCTGAAACTTAGGAAAGCTGTTCATATTGCCTAGCATTTTACAGCTCGTGACCTAAGGACAGTCAGTAAACTGGGATAGTGCTGCCTTTGCCACAATCTCTGAGAAAAGAGGGAAATGTGCAGAAGTCAAATACCCTAACAGTTGGATTTGATGATCTTAAAGGTCTTTTCCAACCAAAATGATTCTGTGATTGGGGAGTCACACATCAAGCTGGTAGCCAGGGTGGGGCTAGAGCAGAGTCTGCAGCCTGCTTGTGCATTTCACCAGGTGGACACCTCCCTCCTTTTCCCCAGGCAGGAGCACAGCTTGATGCAAGAGATATTTGCAGTGACCAGGCCCAAATTTGGTGTTCTCCTTTGAGTATCACTCAGAGCCCAGCAAAATAATGCCATGACATGCATCCAGGTTCACTAATGAGGGACACGGCTGGATTTGATGCCTGGTTACCAGGGGAGGATCTGTTCCAAGCTGCCAGTTGGGTTGGCAAACACTTCTCACAGTTGGGGTGAAAGCAGCTGTTTTTACAGACAGAAGTGCCATTTACAGGCAAAGCCCAGTTGTAATCAAGGCAACCATTTTCAGATGATCAAGGTCTGGCTTCTCCTGGGGACTAGAAGGGGTGTGTGAAGGAGAGAATTGGGGCCAAGCGATGGGTTAAATCACACTTAGATATGATGTGACAATCACTCCCCTGATAACAGCTTATAATGTTTACAATTTGTCTTCTGTTTTGTTTTGTGATTTCAGGAGCAGAAGGCACAGTGTTCCCTAAATCTATAGAAACTCCCAATGTCAGGGCAGACCCCTTCAAGGAACTAAGGTAAACTTTGGAATATGGTTTAATGGTAACTCAGTGGCACCTTGTTGGGGTTGTACATACTGCTGGGCATCATTTCTGCTTTTGCATTAGAGCTTGGGAATTCACTTTGGAAGGCATCACCATAGGATGCCATGGGAGAGAAGGGACCTACCATGTTCACATGTAATATGACAAAGCTAAAGGCATAAGAGCATCATTTTCCCTCTGCAACATACATGTGTTCCCTGGACTCATCATTTGAAAAGAAAGAAAAAAAAGTAAATCAATCTTTTGCTGATTGTGCAGGGAGGTACTGGAATCTGTGCTGGGATAGCAGCAGGCAAAAGGGTAATGGTCTCCAGCATTATCTGTCCTGCAGAAATATAAATCCTCCCTGACCTACACAGGGACTAACTGTGCATGCATGTGACTGCTGACACTTACAGAGATGCTGCTTGCTGACAGCAATATATTCAGGGGGAATGAACAGCACATCTCCTGAGAACCAGCTTTGCCCTCAAGCTAATGCTGGGCATTATATTTGTTTAAAAAAAACAACAACAACAAAACAAGTGTGACAGTACAGTTCAGTTTGGATGACTAGTCTCTGAAAAGAGTGGCCTAATAAATTAGGCCTCATATAGCCTAACAGTGCTGAGGAGGGTTGCCATTAGTGCTCTGATTGTCCTTCCTTAGAAAGAGAGAAAGAAAAAAAAGGTGAAAAAATCCCCAGAAGAACATCTTGTCCTTAGATCTTGAGTTGCAAACTCTCCTTTCCTGGAAACTGCTGGGAATGTAGGAATCTTCAGACAGCTGAAGTTGTGCATGAGTGCTGCAGATTTACTGTGCAGGCACTGAGGTGGGAGAGGACCTCTCCCTCATTTGCTCTCTGTGCTCTGCTACCAGGGATAGTTATGGCCCACCTAGATCACCACAGAAGATGAAGATTTTTGGGGTCTTTGTCTTCACTTTCTGTTTGGAAACCCTCTAATCGTTCCCATATCACACTCTGCGATCCTATGTCAGCCAACAAATGGTGTGATTGTGTTTGTTACGAAGTTTGTTGTCTTTATCCATTCAGTGGCTTTAACCCTGCCTTGTGGTTGTCCCAATCTTGGTGTAGTTCCTTTAAAAAAAGAGCAAACAGGGTTTTTGCTCAGCCTGACGTGCAGCTGCCAGGGCAGCCCTAGGGTCTGCTGTGGTGGAAGGAGCCCAGGGAAGGCAAGGTGTGGTGGTGCAGAGCACACAAACCCTCCATTTCTCTGGGCAGACCAAGCAAACAAAACCATCAGTGAGTGATGGGGTTTGTAGGTAAGGATCAGATGACAAAGGCTTCTTGGTACAGCTCATGTTTGCTGACATTTTCAGGAAGGGGAAAAAAAAAAGGCAGCAAGATCATGGTCAAAATATCCAGTAGCATCTAAGTAACTTACAAAACCAGGTCCCGTTTTCAGTAATGCAAAGAGATGCAAGATTTAGATCCAAGCTTGTGGTTACTTAGTACTTTTCTAAACATGGGAGGTGAATTTAATCCAAAGAAGTGTAGAGTGTCATATCAGAGGGGACAAATGTGAATTAAAATGGCCTTAATCTGATTAAGTATGCTTCTGTTCCAAAGGCAATTACACTAAATTAAATTGAAATGAATTAATGGCAGTATCTATGCAAGAGGTTGATTCAGTATATTTGATCTGCTTTAAATTCATGTTGTTACTTCATTCTTTTATATGGAGAGCTGTTAGATAACTGACTTTTTTTTTTTTTTAATTAGTGGACTGGGTGAAAAAAATCCTGTAAAAATGTTGTGGGTTGTTGGTTTTTTTAAGGGAAAATCATTGAATAGGATTTACTTTGAAACAGAAAGCCCCACAGGGTCCTAAAACATTGTGTGTACTTGTGAAAATTTTATCTTGGAAAAATAAATGTTTTTTCCACCACAAAGAGAAGAAAGGAGCCAATGGTAGCACAGTGTTGATAAAGCAAGGTTTCCCAAGAACAATTAAATGCTCAGTTTCTCCCCAAACCAAGAACCATCCATCTCCTTCACTACATGTTGGAGCACTGACTGGTTCTTAGGTAAAATGGGGCCTTTTGGGTACAGTACAGAGTTCATCAAGGAAATAATCTGACTCTGGGGAGACATTTTTTGGCACCTTCCTATTTTGATAGCAGTGTGTGTGCACAAGGTGTCCTTTTGGCCTATTTAAAAAGATGCTGCTGTGAAATGGGACTGAATGAGATGGCAGCGTATGGGTCCCAAGCTGTCATACACTGCTAGCAAAGCAGCATTGTAAACATCCACTCACGAGATGCCTGGGCTCTAAAAGACCCTTTTCTGTAATAAATAGTGCAAACTTTCTTTTCTCCTTAGTCTGGAGTTCTCAGGGTGGGAAAGTGCACATTCAGTTATTGCAGGCTGTCACCAGATGCCACCAACCTCCATCACTCCTCCTAGACCAAATGGTTAGGATCAGTTATGTGATTTATCCATTTGCTCTTTTCAGCCCCATCCTGACTCCCACTGTTTTGTTAGGAGATTTCAAAATAAGGTGACAGTCACTGTCACTATCAGAAAGAGAGAAGACCAACTGCTCCTGTCACCACTGGGAGTCAGACCATCTGTATATCTTCTTCCTCTTCCTCCCCTCTTTAACAGCAGACTGATTTCCCCCGCAAGATAGGCAGTACACCATCATGCCAGTCATCTGTTTCTTTCCTCCTTTCCTCTTTCCTCCCATCTCCCAAAGGTTTCCAGTCACACCCGTGTCTTGAAGAGTTACGCGCTTCAAGTTCTCAGCAGTCTTGCTGTCCCCATTTAGCTGACAAAGGGTGTTCAGTTCATCCAGCCTAATTCATTTATCAGTAACCAGCTACTCTACAAGATGGTCACCATCTTGGAGAGCAGACAAGGTGTTGCCATCTTTTCTGAGTGCCCTTTTTGAAACACTTTTGTCTGCATTGGTTTAGGTGGAGAAAATTCAGGTGGCAATTGGTTTGGTGCTTGTTCAAACCAGGTCAGGACTTTGCTGCTGAGTCTTCTCAGGAGGTTCTCCCCAGGCTACAGGCTCCTGTGTCTTAAAACAATCCTATTCAGTATCAGTTGGAGTAGGAATGCCAGAGCTCATAAATGTCTTGTTTAGTGCAGGGTGTTATTAATGGTTTATATTTCCTATTTGGGATTTAGAATATTCTTTAATAATGACCTAAAAACTAGGTATGATCGAAAAACTATACGATATACTTCTGTGAAAACTTCCATGGTTTTACTAATTTAAAGTAATTTTAGACTCTTTAAAGTTTGTTAATTGTTCAGTGGATTCTAAACTGGTCAAAAACAGTAAAAAGGAAAGCAGACAAATTCAAATTATTTTCAAATTCTTGAAATGTTTAACATTGCCATTCAGTAATACGCCAAAATAGTTTAGGGGAAGGGCTTTGGAGGTTTGTTTGGACATTGAAATATTTGCACTCATCTGCATTGATTCTTTTTCATGTAGGTTGGTGTCTTTGACATACAGTAATATGATTGCTTATAGTTGAATTCAAGATGACCTTTTCTCACTGGATTATTTTAGTAGCACCCAGGTAACTTACTAAGAGCCTGTCTTGAGAGCTTCTCCTTGACAGTGGCAGGAATCACCTGTCTTCCTCTATTTATCTTCTTCCAAAGGCCAATATATGCCAAGGAGACTAACAGAAGTTGTCTGACAAACACAAGATCAGCACTCTTCTGAGGTGAGGGATAAAGGCTAGACTAGCTGATGTGTATGGAAGAAGGGAAATAATTGGAGGGAAAGGGATTAAAAAGTCAGTGATCCAGTATAAGAAAAAATAGGAGGGTGTTGTTAAACTAGGTGCTGAAAGCTGGGAAAAGTGTATGCCAGATGGGTGCTGTGTTATAGCATCCATCCCCATCCCTGGTCTCTGAGCTAGCCTGAGTACCTCCCCAATGTCCAGCTCATGCTGGTTTAGGGCATTTCTGGTCCCAGAGTTAAATAAAAAGAAATCAGACAGCATGAAATTCACTCCATGAGGGGCAAGTACATACCTGGAATTCATCCAAAGTTATTGTAGGTTAAAAATGCAGTAAACTGCTCATCCAAGGCCAGGAAAAAAAAGGGATGACTGTTTTTCCTGTAATGCACAAATATAGTTAAGGGAGAATTAATCCCTTGGGCTTCAAGGGGTAATTTTTGACCAAAGTTAATTATGAAGCACTGAAAGTACCAAATGGCAAATGAAATGTACTTGCAGCTTGGTTTTATTAGTGCAATTCTACCTTACCATGTATAGCACTGAACTACCCAAATAGTCCAAGTGAGACCTATTGTAACAAAAAGCAATTTAAATGCAGTGCTTAGCTAATGTAACAATACTCATTTTGCAAAACAATAATTCTTCCCAAATTAAGGTTTCTCTCAGCTGTGTTTCGCAAGGCAGCAGAGATGTTTTCAGTAAGTACAAACACAAATAACATTTCTGTCTAAAGCCCATTACATTAATAAAGCTTAAGAGAAAAAAAAATAGAGGTATGAAAGAGGAAGTAATTGGTGAGAAATGGAAATCGTTTATAAAGACTAGTGTGTGATACTGAAACACTGTTTAGTTTACAACAAACACTTGGGGATTCCTGTGAGGTGTCAGCAAGGGAAAAATAACCAGTGTAGTCTTGTCTCTAGCTGATGTTATTTTCTGATTGATTTACCAGAAAGGGTGCAATTTTTTTCTCTGTCCTGCTAGTGCAATCCTAATAATGTTGGCAGTCCTACCAGCTGAAAAGTCAATACGCTTTTACCTTGACATGATCTTTACTTTCCACATTCTAACAAATACAGCTGTTTTCATATGACATGGATGGGTTGGATTTGTCTGACTGTCTCCACTAAAGGCAACACATACCTATTAGCAGACAACTAAAATGAGAGAACAGGTTCCTGGTTTATACACTTCAAGCTAACGTAAGTGGACTATGATGAGTTTTTTTGGAATAGCAGGGGTTCTCACCACTCTCCATTTTCTAA